TGAGCTGATTTATGATGTCTGCCACTAGCCCTTGGCGGAGGATTTCGTCAACAAATTATGCTCCGGCATAATACGGATTGCTGTCTTACATTTATTTTTTACTTTTATTTATTTTTGTTTTCCTCCCTGCCTGCTAGCTCTGCCTGTCTTTTGGCACATGCGAATACGTTTCTAATATTGACTGAGTACGAGGTCAATATAGGAAATAAAAGCCGAGTAAAAGACCGAGGCGAAGCCGAGGTCTTTTACGAGGTCTTTTATTTCCTATACTGACCAAGTACGAAGTCAATATTAGATTTATCATGACAAACAGTCCGTATTTCAAATTCCAGAACGATACATGTAACCTCATGAATCCCGGTTTTATGATTGCACAATCGTTGCACCACCACCTACTCATGCAGTGAAAATGCTGCACTAGGCACCGTTCAACTGCGCAACCCCTAAGCAGTCAAATATAAGCAGTCAATAGCCCTAAGGCTAAGGAGTGAAATATGCAGGAATATTTGACTGCTTAGGTATGGCAAAAATCTATGCGAGTCAATACTAAGGGAGTGATAAGTGGACTTACTGTTGACGTAAACGCGGACGTGCGTATAATAATAATAATACGGATTCCAACGTGTAAGGTCGGCATAATCTTTCGGTTTAGACAAAAATTATGCTTAGGGCATGGCCGTGTGTGTATGCGTGGTTTCTCAATCCTCTATGTAGAATCTACAGCGTGAATATAGTGGAACCGAGCATAATTCAGCATATTATTTTGTTGGCATACATGTAATTGTTACTATTGTAGCATAATCAAAAGCATAATTTGACGATTGGCCGAGCATAGTCCGCCAATGGCTACCTGCCACCGGCCCACGGCGAGGCTGCTTTGAAGAAGAGCATCATCAAGGATCACGTTGCATCTTCGTGCCATCAATCCGGCAAACAGAAGAGATTGAAGTCGTGGGAGAGCTACCAAAAGCGGAACGGGAAAGGCAGGTGCGGAGCTCAGAAGCTGTGCCAGGTGAGCAAAGCATAAGAAGAATTGACGTTGTTAGGGCTTTGCTTGTGGCAGGAATTCCATTGGCTAAGGTTGATTCAAATCGTCCTGTTTTGGAAACGGGAACTGTGCGCCTGACATCAGTTTAGCACTCACCTTCCTTCCTTCCTTTATCCCGTTCATTCTGGAGACGGAACGAGCCCTTGTGCAGAAGATGCGATGATCAATCAGCTGGTGGAGGAACTACTAGCTTATCATCACGGTTACTTCCCAGGTTGCTATCATTGATGCACAGCATATTGGATTGGATTCGGGTGGAGGCAACAATCCCATATCCCGACCTGGCAGCCTGCACGTAGCAAGATCGTGGACTCATCTTCGACCTGCTACAACGTACCATGATCTTCTGCTCCAGCGGAAGAGTCTTCTCCATACTGAAGCATTCGTGAAGGCGTCTGACAACCACCTGCAAAAAAGGATGCTGGGATGGTGACCAAATTGAAGTGTCGCTGATGCTCCAATTCAACTGTGCTCAATGAGAACAGGTGCGCTTGACTGAGAACATTCACGTTTCTGTACATACATGCACAATGTAGATCTACCAGTACATGTACATCAGGGAGTCTAACCCCAGCTTGATGTACAATCATGTGGACTACCAGTACATGAATGTTTTGATCATTTTGGAGCAGCAATCCAGATCTCATTTTTTCTACTGTGTCTGCATTTATTTATTCACTCCACTCGTGGTCCATGACCAATTGGCACGCAAAGTGCGAGAGAGGGGTGATAGCCAACCACGACAAGAAAAGAAAAGAAAATAAAGAAAGAAAGAAAAGAGAAGAAAGAAGGATAGACAAGAATCCAGCAAGGAGATCCTATCGTACTATCGTACTACATTATGCGATCGGAGTGCATTTTTAAAGCTGGAAAGACATTTTGATGTCTTAACATGCTGAGGAAGTTGCAGCCAAAAACTGTAGGACAAAAACAGAGGAGAGTTGGTAAATGCGGCTGAATTAGCACGGGAAGTGAGAGACTATTACAACATTTGACGTGGGGGGGGGGGGAGGGGGGCTCCCAGCTCCCTGGTAGTACATTGGGTACTGGTACTACACTTGCCTGAGACCCTAGAGGTGGCGGTTCGAGCCCCGCATTCGCACATCTGACTGCAACATCCCCATGACGCAGCTCACCAGATCAAGGTGTGGGTTCTCTTCCCTCAGCAGAGTCGAGCCTGCTGCAACTCCTGGTGCCGAAAGGCGGGCTCACACCCCTACATGGCTACTTCCCCTTGTCTAACCCCCAAGACGAAATGATAGTACAGTCAGACCTCGCTTATCCGGTCCTCGTTTATCCGGATCCCTCACCATCCGGAAGAAAATCGTTGGTTACCGATTTACAGCATATGCCATGTACACATACAGTATGCGTGTCCGATTATCCGGTTCCCTCGCCTATCCGGATATTTTTCTGGAAAACGGATGTGTGCGGTTATGCGAGGTCTGAGTGTAGCCGACTTGCCGAAATTGAAAAAAGGCCTCTTGTTTCCAAAGTATTCTTGTTCTCCTTTTTGATGTTGCTCATGCTTCTTTTCATCGATTTTACTGTCTGAGCGTCTATGGGAGATGATGCTAACCTGTTACCATGATTGTGCACTTGCAGGAACCGCAGTACAGTGTACAGTGTACATGTATGACTGTCGTCATGTGGTCATGTATGCCTTGTGGATGTATGCGGTATGTGGATGTATGCGGTATGTGGATGTATGCGGTATGTGGATGTATGCGGTATGTGGATGTATGCGGTATGTGGATGAATGCGGTATGTGGATGTATGCGGTATGTGAATGTATGTGAATGTATGCGGTATGTGCCTTGTGTGAACAATCCCTGCTGCGTTTCACTGTATGGCTGGAGGCTAGCTTGGACTTGGGAGCTGAAACAGTGTCCATGATTTCGCCGTTGGTTTCGCTTCGAGTGGAAGGGCAGCCTGTGGCAGTACACCTGCCTCCTGTTCGGCCTCTCAGACTCACCGAGAATCTTCACCAAGAACCTCCAACCCTCTTGATGTTATGAGAGCAGAATGTGTGCAGAATGAAAAGCAGAATGGGCCATCTCCCCGAGCAGAACAAGCCATCTCCCCGAGCAGAACAAGCCATCTCCCCGAGCAGAATTATGCCGCCGACCCCTACTACAATGTTGTAGTGATGATGGATGATGTCCCAGTAGCATCGTCACATCTACATTGTACATGTACATGTACAAACATATGATATAACCTAATACTGGTTCAAAACCAGTGTTAGGTAAGCCTTGTTATAGTTCACGCATATTGTTAGATTGACAGCATGAAACAAGGTGGAGGACACTGTGTTCGGAAACAGTGACCGTACTACAACCTTCCGTGGTTGGCAGAGCCCCGGTCCCTGCGGACCATTTGAGCCATATGGGTGTTGAACCCGGTTCTGACCCTCATTATGCTAGGGGAGTTTTAGACTTCTCCTCTAAATACGTCCGTCGTGTATTCTTTGATCGCTCCTGGATGTCGTCCTGGTAGTCATGTACATGTAGCTACTTAAACCTGAACCTTTTTTTAATCTCCTTTTCTTCCAACTTCTGCCCATGGCGTCCTTCTCTCAGCCTAGGGTGTCCTCCACCTTGTTTCATGCTGTCAATCTAACAATAATATTATACATACTTGTGCAATATACATACATGTATATGTACTACGACTGACCCCTTCGTGAAAAGGATGCACAGTGCACACGGTGTATGCATATTACCAGTGCTGCAATGCATGCCATACAGACTACAGCAACTGACACACATTACTGTAAACATGTATACAATCATGTATACCAGTGAAGTGGCCAATCATGCGAATGTTACGGTGTACGTGTAGATCTACGTATCATTGTAAGCTACAGTAAGCTACAGTAAGCTACAGTATACACGGTTATGTAATTGTATTGTATAATGTTACTACTAATGTACATGTACGTGAGTATAATTATAACTGGACCGTCATGAGTTATTTGAACTTATTTCCATTCCTTTCTTTGGATAGTTATGACGTTTGTTATCGTGTTGGCAGTGACTAATCGATCCAATCTGCCAATCATTCATTATTATTATGGTAGTGACATGAAGTACCTTTGTCAATCACCGTGTGGGCCGGGGTCACCATGGTCACGCTGCTAGCGTGTTGCCTCCACATGACACCATGTCGAACCTAGCCTGCTTAGATTGAAGAGAAAATAATATTAAACTTGGTATAAGAAAGTAAAAGGAGCCAAGGCTAGGATATGAGCCCCCCCCCCCCCCTTGCAGTCCTGGAGGTTGCAAGGCACGCTCAGACTGGGTCACTACCAAAACACATAACCATTGTCCCAGTACTCGGGGTGTGACCTGGACAGTTCTGTGCCCTGCCGGCATGCCCCTAAATGGTTCTAATACAGGATGTTCTCCACGTGTACAGTGAATGGTGTAAAGTGGTCAACTCATGAGAAGTGAGTGTAACACCAGTCTCAGTACATTGCCATGAGATCAGGGAGTCGTAACGTTACCAGGTTACCATTGCGACTACCTGGATGAGATCTTCTAGCCAGTCTCCATGGTCTCCGGAGCGACCGGCTACATACATGTACTGTGTGTGTAGTAGATCTATGTGTAAAGGAGCTCAGAATGATTGGCAGAACTGATCACAATCAAGTCTACTGTGCTACCGCCACTGGCAGTACATGTAACTTACTGTCTAGTGAACAGCAAGGCATCATATCCCAGTCCTCCAACTGCAAGAAACACATGGATGCTGTCTTCTATACAGGTTGGGGGGGGGGGGGGTGGGGTGGGGGGTGCAGCTGTCACTAAACCATTATTAAATTTGTCAATGGAATGCACACTCTGCCTTGGGCATGTGTACAGTCGGTGCCACAATTTGCACAGCTTAGCTTATCCTCTCAACGGTGTTCCTATCCCATACCAGCGCGGTTCAGCATAAAACAGGAACATACATGATTGTAGACAAGATTACCAAAAGGCATGGGTTATGTGTAACAGGATTGCCAGGGATGATCAAGCTAAAATACCAGCCGACAGATCAAAGCAGTGCAGAAGCCATTCACACTCGGTAGCAGACAAATCACCGATAACAGGGCAATGAATGGCGGTGATGCCAATTATTTTATACTTTGAAGTATAGTTTGTGCACTCCAGACCAAGTTGACAAGCTACAGTAACAGATTTAAAAGAGCTATCTCATCTTATCTTGACGCAAAGTAGATTGCAATACATGTACTTCTAAAATCTACTTCGAAGTAGTTCTAAAATCTAAGGAAATTCACTGATGATAAATAGAACTCACCATGTTACTATGCATCGCCATCTCACACATTACTGAAAGGCACCCGACCACTTTGAATGGACCCATAACACACACGCACACACACACACACACACACACACACACACACACACACACACACACACACACACACATACACACACACACACAAAACAAACACACACACATGCACACAAACACACGTGCACACACACACACACACACACACACACATATATATATATACACGCACATACACACACACACAAATACACACACACAAACACACACACACGGAAGCACACACCGTGACGCGTACCTACACCAGCATGCACACTTTTAAATTATTAGTGACGGGTATGACGTAGTAAAGTCAACATCATATTTGGATTCACAACAGCTGTTCATATACCTAGAGTAGTAAGGTGCCCGGTTGTAGAGTACTATTCCGTTCATGAATTGGCGAGATGGATTGCTAAGATTTTGATCCGCCAGCATTGTGTGCTGCCGAGGACAAACTGTAGCTTCTCCTGCAGTATCATGCTCTATGTCAATTCTTGGTTGTACTGGCTAAGCATTGCCAGTATTGATCACTTATGCAGGCTCAACCGGCATAGGAGTGTGTAGCTTGTGTGTGGCGGATACCGTTGCAGCTGCTTCTGCTCCAAGAAGATCTCTCCATTGAGCAACCCCTGTGGGGTGAGCGTTTGCCCCTATTCCGATATTGATGGTCCCTACGGGCTTCTTGCTGAGCACACCGGTGTTCAGCACGGTCACGGATATGAGCATCTGTCGGATGTTGGCCTCTTTGCTCAGTTGATAGTGGAAGACCTTGTTGTACTCTGGGTTGTAACTCTGCCGCACTTTGGGTGTTTCCTTGGACGCTAGCTTGTAATCACGGTGATACAGGCGTACCTTGGCAGACGTATCTGCAAAGATCACATTGCCATTCAAACATTCAAACAGGCGCACGCCCATACATGTACATACATGTGTAAGAATGTGAACATTTGCTTTATTCACTTGATACTATGTTGTTGTTGTTGTTGTTGTTGTTGTTGTTGTTGTTGTTGTTGTTGTTGTTGTTGTTGTTGTTGTTGTTGTTGTTGTTGTTGTTGTTGTTGTTGTTGTTGTTGTTGCTGCTGCTGCTGCTGCTGCTGCTGCTGCTGCTGTTGTTGTTGTTGTTGTTGTTGTTGTTGTTGTTGTTGTTGTTGTTGTTGTTGTTGTTGTTGTTTGTTTATTTAGAGTCGAAGAACAAACAGGTAAAATTTGCCTAATTACACGATATCGTTCTCATGACACCAAGGGCACATAACCCCTAGAGTGTGCAACAGCCTGTGCAACCCCTGTATCATGATTGTGCTGTGAGGACATAGAAGAATAAGAAGATTGATCACAGTAGAATTCTAGAAGACTGTGTACTGTGTGTAGTGACCATGTATACACGGCATGTATATATGCAGTGTCTGCTCTAGGATTGTAGGACAGCCGGGTACACGTGTACCTGGCGCAACCATTTCAACCGGGTCGGAGCCGGGTACACATGTACCTGGTTGGTTGGTTTATTTTAATTCGGACAATAAACGGGAACTAGGCCCAATGATATAAAGGCGAATGGATAAGCCGCATTTAGAAAAGAGAGGACAGGAATTAGAAAATTACGAAAGAAGAAGAAGTATCTGACACTACATACAAGCCATGTAGTCAGTCCTTTCAAAGTTCGAAAGTGTAAAGTACCAACTGGGTCAGAGGTGACCTGGTACTATATTTTCAACCGGGTCCAAGCGCCGCCCAACCGGGTGGATTACCCGGCTCACTCGGCGCTGGAGCAGACACTGATATGTATATACACTACTCACTACTCACTAGTACTGTAGTACAGCACACATTCACTTTTAACATGTCATGTGCGTGCCTCTTTAGCGTTTCACGTCGGTCCTACGACGATGGCTGCAATGGCCAACCAGACAACAAAGAAGTTGAGGCCAAAGAGAGAGATTTTCTTTTCTCGCGCATACGTGTTGATTCGTGCGTATGACGTAAGCGCCAGGTCTCTCCAGTACTGCCCCGCCATTGGTTAGGTCAGGAGGAGTGAAGCACAATAAACAATAAAGAGAGAGAGAAAGAGAGAGAGAGAGAGAGAGAGAGAGAGAAAGAAAAGAAAATGTGGCATGTACAGAGCGGAAAGGTAGGGAAAAATGATACAATATGTACAAGAGAGTGGTACGAGTGGTGCGAGTGTGACAATATGTACAAGAGAGTGGTGCGAGTGTGACAATATGTACAAGAGAGTGGTGCGAGTGTGACATTTGTAGATAACGTGACAACTGTAAATATTATGTGAACGTACTCTATTGGCAATCATGCAATACACTGGCGGTCTTAATCGAGCAATATACCATACTGAACATGCACCGGAATCTGATACCCCATGGCCGGCAGTGTGTACGTAATCCCAAACCCCATGCGACAGTGTGTTGATGTAAGAACCTACCTGGCGGTGTTGCCCCAAAGATCGGTAGACTGCGTGCTCGGTGGACGGTGATGACGAGATGTCGCTTCTCCTCCTCGTATGTCAGTGATACATCAATTTCGCCCAGCAATGCCTCCCAATGCGCATTCCCCTGTGGAACGGCGCAACATACACACACACACACACACACACACACACACGCACACACACCAACACACACCAACACACACCAACACACACCAACACACACACACACACACACACACACACACACGCACGGATACAGTGCAAATCATTTGTAAAAGCTAAACCAAGCCTTTACGTGAGAAACACTACACACGCCATCCTCAAATCAAGTGGTCTCTTCGCTGCAAATCACATATCTCAATCAAATTTTCCGCGAGGAGCCATCATCAGGATTGAGGAGAAAAACAAGTGAGGTGGACCTATACACCGAGCCAAGCAAATAAGTTATCATGTACTGCAGGATAAATTCCCTGAACAAGTTGTTGAATGTGAGCTCTGAGGCTCATGTACCACTCCCATAAGTTATCAGTATGAATTGTGAAGGATGACCAGAGATAGTACATGCGAGGTACATTGCCAAATCCATAACACATTTTAATTTTTAAATGAATTTGTTACTTCAAAAAATCAGTCAGGGAAGTGAACTGCCTGAAAAGAGAAAAAGGAATGCCAACCCCGCCAGGACTCAAACCCGGGACCCTGCTTGCCATGAGCAACGCTCTAACTATCTGAGCTATGAGACCAGGCCGAACCTAGAAGGCACCGGCAAGTGTTTTCACTCTTAAGGCAGCTCACAACACGTGCCATACATACTCATGGCACTTGGGTCTTTTCCCGTCCCTCAGGAGACCAACCACGATCAGTTTCTTGAACGTACTACCAGAGGTGAAAGAAAGTGATTAAATTTTGTAAAGGATTGGGAGAACTTCAAATTTGAAAAGATCAGTCGGGGAAGTAACTGCCTGAAAAGAGAAAAAATGCCAACAACACCAGGACTCGAATCCAGGACCTTGCTTGTGATGAGCAATACTCTCTAACCATCTGAGCTATGGGACCAGGCCGAACTTAGAAGGTGCCGATAAGTTTTTCACTCCAAAGGTAGCCCACAACACGTGCCATACATACTGATGGCACTTGGTTTGGTCCCTAGGCGACCAACCACGGTCATTTTCTGGAACGTACTACCAGATGTGAAATAAAGTGATTTTAAATTCTGACAGGATTGGGAGGATCAGTCAGGGACTCTGAGTAAATGTTTGAGTCCTGGTGGGGTTGCCATTTATTTTTCCCTTTTCAGGAAGTTCATTTCCCTGACTGATTCTTTGAATTCGAAGTTCTCCCAAACCTTTCAGAATTCATCACTTTCTTTCACCTCTGGTAGTCGGTCCAGAAACTGACTGTGGTTGGTGCCTTTTGGGGGAGCCCCCCCCAAGTGCCATCTGTCATGATCAGTATGCGTGGCACTGGTTGTGAGATGCCTTTGGAGTGAAAACAATTGTCAACGCCTTCTCGCGGGTTCGGCCTGGTCCTATAGCTCAGATGGTTAGAGCATTACTCATGACGACCAAGGTCCGAGTCTTGGTGTTGTTGGCATTCAATTTTCTCAGGCAGTTCACTTCCCTTTTCTCAAAATGCGAAGACTCCACTGTAGCCATCCACAATATCCATACATCTTCACCACACTCTCCAAACGGTCTCTGGGCTACACCAATTGCTAAAAGAAAAAAGAGATATTAAGATTATTCGAATTTTCGGGCAAGTCCCATCTTCAGGAGATGGGCCTTGAAGATGGGCCTTGCCCGAAAATTCGAATAATCTTAAAATATCTCTTTTTCTTTTAATGATTGGTGTAGCCCAGAGACCGTTTGGAGAGTGTGGTGAAGATGTATGGATATGTAGGACTCAGTATAGAGTCCATGCACTATATGATGTCCAGCACCCTATATAGAGTCCATCGGTCCAAAATCCACTATACAGAGTCCAGGAGTCCACTCAGTTTTGATCAGCTTCATCCTGCCGCGCAATCCCCTATATGGAGTACACTTTTTCTGCAAGTCCCCTATTCACGGTCCAGGAGTCCAGTCCAGTTTATCCAGTCACGCCGTCCCGACTCTGTGACTGATGGCTGTGTGTTGTGCCCGAAAAAGAGAACAAAAAACTTTTCAGTTTTGCTTGCCTCGTGGCAGCGCATTCCTTTCTTCACTTCAGCCATGGCTGCCAGTTCTGCTGTGCAGTTGCTGACAGTAATCTGTCTCGAGATAACCAAGGAGGATAAGGAGACGTTCAAAATCAAATCTGGAAAGCGTCTTGTGGTTCTCTGAAGACGTTTCATCAGTGCGCGGGATGAAAGCAGAAATTGCAGAACGAGAAAAGTTCAGCACAGTTCAAATCTGACAAATCAGGTACACTGACACTCTCTTTCGTTCGACGCCACAAGGACCCCCTGTTTGGCTGGCCATTGCTGCCAGTAAGGCGTTTGAACGGTTTCATCAGAGCGAGGGATGAAAGCAGAAAGCGGAGAACGAGAAAAGTTCAGCACAGTTCCAATCGGACGAGTCAGATACACTGACACTCTCTTTCGTTCGGCGCCACAAGGATACCCTGTTTGACTGGACAAGAGCTGCCTGTACCACCGTGTCAAAAGCCTATGAAAAGGCTGTCCAACTACATGGCAGGACGATGACTGAGGTAAGGAAGCTTTTACTCGTTTCGATTGGTCTGCTGTTCTGTCGTTATGTTGCAGCTTGACTTTTTTTCCATTTTCAAGGATCGTATCGCGTTTGTTTGATGTTGCTTGAATGCCCTAAAAGTAATCAACCATTTCGTAATAGTCCTCAAGGACTGCAAGGACTTTGCATCAATTGTATACGATCGTCTAGCTATCATCAATTATTATTTTATTTCATGAGAAATGTATTATTATCCCTGTGATAATTATGTGAACTCCACGACACTCTTCCTTTACTAGGCTCTAGTATGATGTCAAATACAATGGGATCCACAAACGCAGTGCCAGTGTGCTAGTAGAAGTAGGAGGAGGATTTCTTGTATGGCGATGACAAGAAAAAGCTTCTCAAGCTAATACATGTACTCGTATTCCATGAAGTAACCGTTTTGATGTCACAAACATGACATTGTGTCAGTGAAACTGCCTCGTGACAACAAATCATTGCATTTCCATCTTGGGGAAGACTGACTGACGGCAACGCTGTACAGATTGTTCAAATCATCTCATTTCAATTTAGTTGCAGTGAAGTGAAACACTGTGTACACTACATGTATGGTGGTGTGTCTGTGCGTCTTGAGTGTGCACAAACGATCTTATTCCTCGTATTACTAATAGATTATTGTCCCCACCGTCACCTGTTCACAGGTCTTTGAGTGGATGGATTTTCATTGAGCATCACATTCGTTGAGAACTTGGTAGTTGTGTGCTCCCATGCATCATTACGGTAATAAGCGTATCCTTGTATTATCTATTTGTTGCAGGTGTGCTGATCTTCAGAAGCTTGCGGAACTGAGTGCTGCTGAACATTTGCATGGCCATGAGCAATGGTGAAGCTTGCTATTGCACTCTCAGCATGTGCTAGTATTATGCTGACTACTGCACTATGTTACTCTCTTAGTCTTACACTACTACATGTATGTAAACGTGCATGCACCCGTCCACGTATGCATTCGTTTCGTATAATTATTTGTTATCCCTCTTGACTTTACGTGTAAATGGGTGAACGTTTGCATGGCTGTTGGAGTTGCATGTGTATTGTGTCTCTACTCTTTCCTTGGTGTTTTCTTGGCATTGTATAAGTTTGTGTGTGTGTGTGCGTGCGCACAATAATTTGAAAACAAATAACTAATCCTTGGCTCTCCATTATTCTCTTTCGATTCTTGGTTTTTTTCTAGGTATTTTCTTGGCGTTGTGTGGGTGTGTGCATGTGTGTGCGTGCACAATAATTTGGCAACACTACATGATTGAGATATTGTAATTTGCAGCGTCTGCAAAGAGACCACTTGATTTGAGGATGGTGCTTGTAGGGTTTTTCATGTAATGAAGTGGCTGCAGTGGCGCCTCAATACTTATTTTTTATCTTGAGAAGTGAATGATGTAAAGGATTAAAGGGAGAGGCCGTTTTCTGGTTAATATTCACTGCTTACAGCAGATCCTTTGTCTAATTTCGAACTCTGGATAGGGGATGCCTAATTGGCTGGACTTTATACAGGGAGTGTTGTCCACATAAAGACTCCTTATAGTTGATTTCAAAGTTTGGACTCCATACAGTTGATTTTGGACCAATGGACTCTATATAGGGGTGAAGCCAATTGGCTGGACTATATACAGGCAGTGATGCCCATCTAAACTTTGAGCTCACAGTTGATTTCAAGTTTGGACTCTGTACAGTGGATTTTGGACCAATGGACTTTATATAGGGGTTGGACATCATATAGGGGCTGGACGCTCTACTGAGTCCAACAGATATACTGTAAATATACAAATTTTCGGCAGCTATTTAATTTCGGCTATATTCGGCACCGACCCAAAACGCCTAAATTAAAACGCCGATGAAAATTTTCACAGCATCTGTCGCACTATACATGTATACACTATGCCCTCTACCCCACGCCGAAAATAAATGGCCGCCGAAATGTCAAAAATCGCGAAGTGCCGAAATTTTGCAGCGCCGAAATTTTGTATATTTACAGTAGTTCACTTCCCTGACTGATCTTCTGACTTTGAAGTCTCCCAATCCTTTCAAAATTTACTACGGTATTTACGAAATACAACCAAGAACTATTAATTTTTATAAAGCATGCAAGAACTATAATTGGGATAATAGTTCTTGCATGTGTTTTGTACTATTTGCATTATTTACCTAGTCTGTCAAGCAGTGTGTTTTAGAGGGTAGACTCCCTCCCCCCCCCCCCCCGCCCATTGCCAATTGGTCGAGGAGGGCATTACAAGTTACAACCCCATTGGGAGTAGGACCTAACGATTTAGGGAAAAACATAGCCGTGCATAGTGCATACTGGTAGTGTGGCCAGGCTAGTCTGCTCGTGGAAACAATGAAAAATGGACGAGAAAAACAAAACTGACTGCAACTTCATGGCCCTCTCTCGGAGATGTGGAATATCAGTCACATACATGTTGCCATAGGCTTCATAGCAGAGGAGGACAGCCCGGCTGACTGTGTTCTCCTGCTGGGTATTCCCCACAGAGTTACCATGGTTACCAAGGGAAATTAGGTACGTTTCTTGAACCATCAGGCTGACAGCATTAACATATGCCATGTCTCCTTACCCGTATTCGCTTGCCTGGATCTACAGACTTCCAGATCTTGCCACACAGTGAGAGGTCGACGTCCTTCAGCGGGAACCAGACGTGGCCGATGAGGTCATCCTTGGACACGACATCATGGTCATACACATGCAGCAGGAAGCCCAGTCGATTGGTTGGCACAGATTGCGGACACTCAAAGTCGTGCTGCTCATCAAACACTGGAAACAGTGTTTTGTCGTGTACCTTAGATCGCCAGGTGGAGAATTTGCGCAACACTTGACCGTCCGCTAGGAGCATCTTTGTATCAATCAGGCTGATTTCCACGTAAGGATCTGATGAGCCGCCTGCATCCATGGCAGGTAAATCCACGGCTTTGACCAAGTGAAAGCGCAGCACTTCAAGTCCTACTACGTACTCTACTCGCAGTTGGATACGCCCTAGCTTTGACCCTAGTTCACTGGAGCCGGCCGAGTCCAGGGAAGACAGCGATGCTAGAAGAGATGGTGGCAGGGATGTAATCTGGCGTGACTTCAGGCTGGGTTCCTTGAGCGGATCATACTCTACTTCGTGTGCCATGAACGAGCGACGCCGTGCCATGTTTGAGTTCTCTAGTTGTGATCTCAGTGGAAGTGATTGACTGCGTAAGGCTTTCAGTTCCTGCGGGCTCAACGACACTGCAGATCCTTTCCGGGACATGGATAATGGATCTTTGTGGTTTGCCAGTGATTTTCCTCTTGCCCAAGTACCGCTATCTGTCTTTGTGTCTTCATCTTGTGGCCACATAGAGCGTATAGGTGGAGTTGCGGAATGGCTGCTTGGCTGTGCTGGAGGCGGATATGGTTCACCGCCTGTATCTTTGTTAGCATCCTGTATTGGTAAGGTTTCTTCAGCTATTCCCGGCACCTTGTACGGGCTAGCTAGAACCTCGTAGCCCTCTCGATACTTGGTGATCTGACTCTCCAGTTTGGCTTTCTTGGAATTCTGCCGTCCACGTTTGCGGCAGCAGCGGTAGTACATGCAGCAGCAGCACAGTAACAGGAAGAACGTAACTCCTGCTGCTGCCGCCGCATAGAGGACTGCATGGATCACACCGGAAACAGAACATTGTTTATATACATACACACAGACTCAGTACACACACACACGCACGCACACACACACACACACACACACACACACACACACACACACACACACACACACACACACACACACACACATAATGTACATGCATCTCGTGCAAATCAGCAGCCACTACCATCAATTGTCTCATTGCTGCGAAATCCCTAATTTCACCAATTTCTTCGGGCATAGCCAGTCTGTTATGAAAACTCACTCCAATACTTCGATTTGAAACTCGGGTATTGAGCCAATAATAAAAGTAGAAAGGAAAAGGACATATGGAAACGAGTTAAGAGTAACTCTCCACCACTGTAACTAGATACTATACAGTCAGAAAGTGGTGGAGAGTTACTCTTAACTCGTTTCCATATGTCCTTTTCCTTTCTACTTTCTTTACTGCGAGTCGTCAATTGTGTTCCAGCAAACGTTTGGGCCGGCAGCCCATCATCAGGGTGACGGCTCCTGATGATGGGCAGTAAAGAGACCATTATTGAAGTGTTACAGGGAGGTTTCATACTTGTGTATGTGGCTGCATTTGGAGTTTGCGGACAATAAGACAAGTATGGGAAATCTTCAATGTGAAATCCTGAAAATTTGACGGGAATGTTAAAAGGAATCTACAGCATGGAGACCACTGGATATGATGTTTGATTCTTGAACTATTTGCTGTAAAGGGCTCCGGTGAAGTTCGAAGTTAGAAAGTCAATACAAGAGGAGCTGTGCGCCTTAGCAAAATGAACACTGGACTGTGGTGCAATGAGCAATGAACACTGGACTGTGGTGCAATGAGCAATGAACACTGGACTGTGGTGCAACGAGCAATGAACACTGGACTGTGGTGCAACGAGCAATGAACACTGGACTGTGGTGCAATGAGCAATGAACACTGGACTGTGGTACAACGAGCAATGAACACTGGACTGTGGTGCAACGAGCAGAGAGCATGGCCTTACTAGATAGTGATGCTAGATTTCACCACAGGTTTCTCAGTGACCATACAGTTATGTAATCTGTAAGCAGCTCAACAAGACGGTAATTAGACAGCAGCTACTACCAGTTCAGTGCCACACATACAAGCGGGAATGGAGAGGATTCCAATGTACATGACTGACTTACTCATATTTGATATCATGTTTGAATCGGTGTGGTGTATCCAACTGCAGATAGAGACCATCGGCATCAGACAAAAAAACACAAACAAATTCACACAACAAATCTATTATGCCTCAGGCCCATAATACTGTCTTCGGAACATTGCCCAGGTAGTCCAGATGGGCTAAGTGAAATCTACTACCTATCAAGAATGTTTGATGTAGCACGACGTAATCATGAACTTACTGCAAAGCTCACCGAGTGTATTTCTCGCAGTCAGTAGAGCACTGTGACTTTCATGCATCTATAAAAATCTAAGTAAACAATGATGTTTCGTTCCATTCACTGGACTTCATTGCGATGAGCTTTTGCAGTAACTCCAAGGTCCACTGGTGAAGTGTTACAAGGTCAAAACAGTCAGTGGCTGCCATTGGATTGAGTACAATATGTACATGTACATGTATATGCTTGATGCCATCGCTACATGATAGCAGTTAGGTATAAATTTTGCTTCAAGTGGATGGAACAACACAACTGAACATAAGGTTCCCAGCTATAAGTGCTATTAAAAGCAGTATCACAAAATTAGGTGTATTTGTGAACATAGAGGGACAGTTTTGTTGAAGAAAAATATGCACGTGTGACAAATTGAACAGTTTAATAACTATTCAACCCATAGTTTTCATCTATTCTTATTAGGGACAACTGTGATTTGCTGAAAGAGTTAACAGTCTACATGAGACAACAACCAATGTATGGCCGCCTGACCTTTGGCTTTGCATTTAGAAGAACTGTAATGTGGGCTGTCAGCAGTCGTCACTAATGTGTAGTTTTTGTATTGTTGGTCTTGTGATACAGTTGTATTATTCCTACTCCCCCCCCCAGGCACACAAGAGAATCCCAATGCTGTTTGTGTTTTAAAAGGCGCTGCCATTAAAAAAGTTACTGTAAACAACGTCATGCTGATATGAGGCTTCAGTCCATGTGCAGTGTTATGTAGGGTGCAAGTGCACACTCTGCAGCACTTGCTACTGACACCGTGTTCGTGTCACCATAATTATTATGGTCATTGTGATGAAGGTTGCCAGCATGGTCACATAGGCTTGCAGCAATACTTTGTATTCGTACCAATGATACTTAAGTATTGGGACATTATGCAATGTGCAAGGAGAAGTCAGCCAGTGGCGGTATAGATAGTTTCAAAGATGGAGCTGCTTTCACATACTGCTTGCTGAAAAAAAGGAGATCCAAGCATTACTGTATTGTGCACACAACTACCTTGGGTACTGACAAGTCTGACATTGCAGCATACACTACACATAAATCCTTCCTAGAGATGTCGGCCAATTTCAGACATTCTCAGAAAGTGTTCCCTCAAAGCAGTTTCTTCGCTTGACTACTTGAGCAATCAAACTGTTCATTCACAAGCAATCAGACTGATTTTTTTCATTCTCATCTTACATCTCTACTGGCTATCCTTGGTGCAGGTTTTATCATTATTTTTGCTTGGTTTTCTACACTATTCTTTGTCTCCACTTGAAAAACACCTCCATCCCGGAACAGGCTCTCAGCTGTACGAAAAGAGGTGTTTTAAAGTGGAAAGAAAACGCTGCGGTGGAGTTGGAGAATTTTCAGAAAGCATTCTTTGTCTCTACAAGTATAATGATCAATTTGAGACTAGGAAGTCCTCCAGTTTGGTACCAATGTACACAAATAAGAAACCAGTAGTCCTCGAATATATCTCTTCAGGAATATACGTGGACTTTGTACAAGAGATAACATCAGCAAGATCTACGCTGGCACTGGTATTCTCAGCTGAGTATGTTAGCTGAGTGAGACTGGTGACCCTGCAGAACTAAATGATAATAATGATATTTTGCCCATGCAGCTGCAACTGGTCAGTGCTATGCCACGTAGAGTCTGCTGGTGCCACATCAGAATTGTGCATGTGTCATATCCTTGAACAGCGCAGGAGACGGAACAGCTTTGCTGAAACATGGGAAATGCTACACGTCCGGAAATTATGGCAATGGTTGGTGTGCGGATTAGATTGAAGAGATCTGAATGATCCGCGGATTAGATTGAAGAGATCTGAATGATCCGCGTCTAAACGCCAGTAGATAAGAACACACGGCACGCGTTCAAAGGGCCAATGCCAATAGGATCTTTAGAAGCCTGACCATTTGTTCATGGGGCTCATCGCAGCCTCACTGAAACAAGCCCCCCCCCCCCAGAGCTACATGAAGACTACTCACACCCCACATTATAGCCAACACTTTGAAGACAATACCCGGCGTTGACAAAATTTAATAACCTTTTTCGAACCACCGATGGCGCGGCATTGTCTTCATTCACTTCTTAGAGCAGCGGGGTTAGGACACAGGTGCCATGACGTGTTCGTTACAAACTAAATTCGAGCCAGTACGGCAGTAGACTACGCGGGTGACAGCAAGTCTAATGATACAGTAGGTGCTTACCCGTATCAGGTTTTAGTTGTGTTGTCCTGTCTCAGCGCGAACTAAAACCTACACCACGGCAAAGATGGTGGGTGTTCCGCATAGCGCTGAAGGATAGACATCGATCGACAACGCCCACGGCCACACGCACAGCCTACATCCGATTCTCTTCGGCACCAGTCTTGTGGTCCTGGTTGGGCCGTGGGAAGCTCACCCGACAGCAGATTTATGGTAACGGATATCCGGACAAGCATTTATTTCTAGCAGTGTATGATGGACGCTATTACTATTCCGAGTATTCGTATCACCCGCACCGCAACGCACAACTCCGTTTGCAGTGAGCGGGATACCCGCACGGGTAAGCAGGAGCAATGAGTCCTCCAGAAGACAGCCAACAATCCACAGCTAATCCAAGGACTACTAGTACATGCACGAGAACATTAATTTTCTTCAGACTCAGAGGACAACACAACTACTGACTACTAGTGCACCGAGAATGGTCAACTACTTGGTCAAGTCCTCACCTGACCTCTGCAGCTCTGGCAACACATCGCACCGGGTAGGTCTACGTTCCGAGCCCCAAAGACTAAGGTGTAGTGGATCTACTACTACTAGTACTAGTAGTAGCGACGGAGATTGTGGAACTCTTGCCTCGTCTTGGAGGTGGTCTTGACTCTTGGTGTGACCCTACATCGATGTAGCTGCTGCACGAGGTGGAATACCTGTCATGCAATGATCACAGCCTACAAGTTCTATAGCCAGAGTAGCTAAGACTAAGAGTCATAGCCCGTAATACCGCATTACCAGGGAGTACTGAGAGCCTGTTTCAGTATTGACATTGTACTAAGAGTCATAGACTCATACTGTCATAGCCCGTAATACCGCACTACCAGAGAGTACAATACTGAGAGCGGCTCAGCCTGTTTCAGTATTGACATTGTGCTACATGTACATGTACTTGCATGGATACTGCGTACTAAGTATTCTTAGTATAAGTAGACATACATGAGAGCGTAGCTCTGGACATAGACATTATTATACACTGACTGTGCTTTCACACCAGAAGGGAGGTTTACGTTTTCGTCCCTGGACGAATGACGAGGCTGAAACTGTGAAAGTCGGTGCATCGGTATCGCGCTGAAAGCCTGACAGAAAGCTGCATCTGCATTATCTCACGCAGTGAAGTAGATCTACATGACTGGTAGTTCTACTAGTATAGTAGTGGGCTAATTGCTACTGCCATACTGCGGCCATACTGCCATACTGCCATACTGGAACTGCATCAATTAGTCCGTCGTCCCAAGTAGTACTACTACTAGTAGTAGAAGTACCCCATGAGGTGCATATTTGCATTTGCATTCTCCTTCTCACAGAATGAGAGCTGCCTTTCAGGCTCCATATGGCCATGTCATTGACATGTAGCCCTTGGCGGATCATGCCGGCATAATATTTGGCATAATCTTGGGATTTCGTCAAAAAATTATGCTCCGGCATAATATACGGATTCCAACGTGTAAGGTCATAATCTTTCGGTTTAGACAAAATTATGCTTAGGGGCATAATACAGCTTTGCTTTGTCAGAAAGCCTGCAGATGTTTTTTTTTTTTCCCCAGTTACGACTCCGTGTCGTAGTCCTTGGCGGATTATGCCGGCATAATATTTGGCATAATCTTGGGATTTCGTCAAAACATTATGCTCCCGCATAATACGGATTCCAACATGTAAGGTCGGCATAATATTTCCGTTTAGACAAACAGTATGCTTAGGGCATGGCCGTGTGTGTATGCGTGGTTTCTCAATCCTCTATGTACAGCGTGAATACATAGTGGAACCGAGCATAATTCAGCATATTATTTGTTGCCATAATTGTGGCATAATCAAAAGCATAATTAATTTATTTATTTGACGATTGGCCGAGCATAGTCCGCCAATGGCTATTGACATGGTCATTGTATTTGTAGCTGGTGTATTTTCACTAGTGCTAGTAGTGGTGGGTGCATCATGGTGTTACCGTCTAGACTAGACTAGACTAGAGTCTACTAGTACAGTGTACAGTGCGTATCGGTTATAGCGTGGTCGTGTAAAAGAATATACTGCCTACAAGAATGAACTCTCATATTTTCATAATCATAACATGGGTTTCATGTGTATATTTATTCTTACAAGCAATGTTATCGTGTAATATAATATGATATCGGTCCTAAGAATGGACTTTGTGTAGCAAAACATGCCAGATTAGTACAAAGTGTATCGCCTGTAGTAATAACATCTGCCCGATACAGTTCTGAACCGACTCGAATTGCATCATATTCATAATGCTGCAAGTGCATCTGTTTGTTGCTCAGCCACATGGTGAACCTACATGTATACCTAGGCTATGGCCCTGGGGGGGGGGGGGGGGGGGGAACTAGTCTTTGGAAGTATGAGCAACCGCATACACAGTAGCACTACGTCGTTGCATGTACATGTACATGTACATGTATGATGATCTTCCTGGCTATGCGCACATGCATATGATACGTCACACTATAATATTTATCGTGTGTAAGAAATAGCGGAAATAAGAATAGAAAGTCGTTTTTCAAACACCCACGCTATAACCGATACCTACTGTACTACTACATGACTTGTACTCCTTTTATTTTACTGGCTTTAGCGTGTGCAGTGGGACCACTGACACCGGGAAATGCGCCTGAAGATCCGAGGAGTTACTTTTGCAGCACTTGTTCTAAGTAATTAGTTGTAGTAGTTTTACCTGATTCTAGCTTCATGAGAACAATACACGTGTACTGTTTGCGGTCACTAGCAGAGGAAGCTGAATATTGTACAGCACATGTATGTGAGAATCTGGTGATCAAAGTCTTTAGCGCTTATACATACCGTACAGTACAGTAGGACGCGTACTCGCAAAAGAACGGTAAAGAAAATACAGTGAGTGATGCCTTGTGCAAAAGCGCTGGACACCAATACGACATTACACTCAGCATCGATCTGTGTCTGCATTGTTGGTGCTGCGGGAAAGAGACCTTTGCCAAAGGTGTTAAAGTCCAATAAGGAAACATGGGGGGGGGGGGGTGCGGCACAAAGCTCTTCTGATGATTGAGTAAGTTTCTGGCAAGCAAACTATTTCTTCGTACTAACGTTAATACGTCTTACAGTACTAAATCTCTATTATTATCTCTGCTTTTCCGGATGCTCAATCGGTAACTCACAACTGAGGGCCTAACAAAGACCTTTTTATTTTAAAGTACACTACCAACACTCAACAGTCCACACTCAACAGTCAACACTCAACATCACCAGACCACGATCTGTACATGTAGTGATGTAGCTGTAAGGCACCTTGTAACATTACAATCATGACATTTTGTACTGTAACTTGATTCCAAATAATTACATGTACATGTATAAAGTTCTCCCTTGGGGCGTCAGGATACTACTGTCTGACCAAGTTCCAAATGGGAAACTGCCAAAGGCGAACATTTGGAGACAAGTCGTGACTGTAAAAGTCATTATTCTAACGAGGCGCATATACATGTACATGTACATGTACATGTATAACGATTTCCCAAAATTGACTGGTTTACGTGTACCAAAGCCAGGTAACGATTCTCACTTATTCTCAACGCTCAATAGGACAGTATGTGTATCGATTTCTATAGCGATTTCTATTTTAACGACAGATTTCTCTTAGAGTTAGCACTTCGTTATACATGTACATGTATGGCTTTTACAGTATGTAGCAAGACTTAGTATTAGTTGCAGCGACTTGGGCCGTGGTGATAATTATTATTTGGAGATTTTCTCACTGAGCTTGTTTGGCAATAGAATGTAACCTTACAAGGCTTTGGCAATTCTAATTATCGGTTTACATGATCACCCGGACTGTTTGCTCCAAACTGCAGCATTGCATGTGCATACGCACATGCACTAGTAGTAAGTAGTACTAAGTTTTGTCACACATCCTTTATTGCTGAACCCACAAATAATTGTGATACAGATTGTAAATCATTCGAGGTAAAAGAGAAAGCCGGCAGGCGGCATTAATTAATAAAAAAAAAAGAAAAAAGAAGTACTAGTACTAAGTTTTGTAGTCTTATCCGCAGGTACAGGTATATAGGGTGCCAGCCTGCCAGCGCCCACGTAACGCCGTTGGTCTGACCAGGGGCGGGCTAGCTGGCCTACAATACAATCACCGACATGGCCATGTATATACATGTACATGTATGTCCCTGTCCCATACCTGCCAAGTATCCCGAGTTTTTCGGAATTATCCCGCATTTTTGGATAAACTCCCGCGATCCCGAAATCACTGTCGATTATCCCGAAAATCACTGTACACGAGACAAGTCTTGATAATTATTGTTCTCTGAGCACTTCAACTTTTCAAGTGACTTGTCTAGTTCTCCCCTCGTACTGCCATAGCCTGTAGTTCCAGTAGATCTACTACTACTAGTGGCAGTGCTCCTTTTAGTTTTATGAATTGTTGCTGTCACAAACTTTTTGCATCATCACTTCAAAAAAGTTGGAAATGGAATTTTGGAAAAAAATAAGACTTATCCTGAAAACCAAGGCAAATCCCGAGAATTTGCCCTGGCGATCCAGGAAAAGCACTCTCAGTACTTTACTTGGCAGCAAGAGTACATAACCCTGGGGTTATGTACTGTTGTTGGCAGGTATGCTGTCCGTATCTGCAGTGTCTGTCTAGGATTTCAAACCGGTACATGCATGTGTACATTGTACCTGGCACAACTCTTGCAACGGGTCAGTTCCGGGTTCATTCAAGTGCGGCTATTGAGTATTGTCATGTACATGTACATCAGGGAGTCTGAGTGAAGCGCACATGCACACGGTACGGTAGGCACTGGAGAAATCAATCATTCTTGACTCGAATCAATCACCAGAATGAATAGAATGGATGAAATCAACTGAAGATAAGCAATGGAAACTGAGGGCGTGAAATACAAAGGTGTGAGAAGAAAGAGCGTGCAAGTGTACAGAGTGACAAGGGTGCATAATGCATATGCCACCGTCATTGGGCGAGAGTGCTAAACGTAAGACTATCTAAGTTGACGCATGCATTAGCACGCATGCTACATGAGGACTCGACCCCTCCCTGATTGAGACCCAAATGGGTCACAGGTGCCCCAGTGTTCTTTTTGCAAGCGGGTTCAAGCACCCCCCCCCCCCCCAACCGAGTCGGTGACCCGGCTGATCCAGCTCTGGAGGTGACACTGATCTGTCTCCCAAAATTTAGCGTTCCTGTTGACCCAACTAACTTTGCCGACATCACAGCGGAAGCACAAATTGGGCCAAACACGCTGTACTCTTACACTGTAGTCGATTTCCGTGATCATCACTTCGCGATGTGTTTTGCACCCGTAACCATGGTAACGAGAGCAGACAAGGTGTTCATTCCGCGCAGACTCTTGGCGCGCCTACAACTCCTATCATGGTCACTAGTAGTGCGTACACATTGTAGTTGTCTGTCCAGGTACTCCAGGAACCCGGAACTAACTTGCACAAAAGAGGCGTGAAAAGCCCTCCATGATTATCATTATGGATGTGAGAAAAATGCCAGCCAACACAATACTTGTCGGCGACTGCATGCAACGAGGGATGTGGGGGCTGAGCTCGCCTGATCGCTCCCTGATGAAGACAGACTGATACAACGCCATGATCTTCAATCCACCATCCTCAACTGGGTCAGCACTGCTGCCCGGCGCACGCCTGCACCACACCGGCCCGGCGGCCCCATGCAATCTCGAGTTGCTGTTTGAAACTGAAGTCACTGAGCAGCTTGTGTATAATTATCATCACAGTCTGAACAAGAAGGAAATAAAGGTAAACTGTAGCAATAAAACAACATTTTCAGAATCACTATTATGCAAGCTACTAGTATAGAATAAAATGTGCCCACCCTCAAGCAATTTGTCTGCCAAACATTGTGATTGCGACCATCAAGCCCATACACTGCCGATGACGTACTTCGCAGCATGTAGAAAGAAAGAAAAAAATAGACTTTAGTTTCAGAGTAAGACGGATCTGGCGTCATTGCCAAGAAAATATATCGGCATGCTGATACATGTACTTGTAATTGATAAGCATGTGCAGAGGAAGTACATGTATCACGTACATGTACTTGGAAGTATGTGTACTTGAACTACAAGCATCACATTAATAATAATAGGCTTACTATGGTTATATGCTCAAACCCATCAATACATTGTTGTCATCAATACATTGTTGTCATCAATACATTGTTGAAAGAATAGTTTTCCAAACGATTGCCGGTAGTAATCACATTATGAATAGCTACAGTCAGCTTCATTGTCGGAATGCACTCCAAAAGGAATGGTCTCTGGTGTTGCATGACCACGGTTGTCTTATCCTGGTCTTTACAATGTACGTCATGTATGGCAGAGGAGATTATCAGATTGGGAGCTGATTTCTCATCACTGTCCCGCACCCTCATAAACTGCATTGTAACAAGTTCTGACAAAAGACCAAACATGTTGAACATTCCAAGCAGCCATTTCGACTACTCGGCATTCCTTCACTCCGACTTTGTCACCCTCTTCTTCTTCTTGCTGTACGTAACTGGCATTCCTTCACTCCGACTTTGTCACCCTCTTCTTCTTCTTGCTGTACGTAGCTGCATGCACATGTGAGTGCAACTTGTGCCACTTGGAGACGAGCTCACCAGCCGGTTTCTGCATGATGTCATTCCAGTGGTTCTGACCGCTGGCATCCTGGTCGGTCAGGATGCTGACGCCAAAGTTGACGATACCTATCGGAATGGACGTCATGCCCTCGCGGTGACATATAGACACCGTCATCACGCACTCCTCAATGGGTATGTCAGCATCCAGTGTGAAATGTGCCGTCTTATTGAATGTTGGATTCTGATCGTTCCTCTCTGGTTTGAAATCCTTCGAACCGATTTTGCAGTCCTCGTAGATGAGGCGAACTTTAGCGCAGGGATCTGCATCGAAAGGAATCCAGCATATCATGAAGCTCAAGTTGAAATTATGTCAATAGCAAGTATGGCAAAGCTTTCAAGGAGCGCATCTGATGGTTGACCGTACCATCCCAAAAAAACCTTTGCACGTGTCACTTCGGCAATGTATCCATACTATGTCCTTGTGGAGTCATTAGCAACTACCATGTACCAGTGTGTACAGTGTTATCACACCGTAACTTGTAAACATGACAAACAAACAGGCAGCATAATGTTCCAATTGACAAGCTTGGCCACATGTCTGCACTCTATTTCCAAGGCTCTACATGTATACTAAGGCGAACAGGCACAGTGGTGGCCTGCGGATGCGAAGGCTAGTTTGTGTGTTTCTGAATATTCAGCGATGCCGATGCGGATCCCGCGAATATTAGGAATATTATTACATGTATACTGGAAAGTAGATCTTTCCTACATTGTTTTCAAAATACATGCCGGTGACAATGTCATGTGTTTGTTAACCCCCTGGCATGTGTTTGCCTGTGCACCCGAATGCACACATATGAAGCTCTACATATGCAACCATCATGCACACATGCATGTAGACACAACCATGTGCACACATACCCCTCCCCCCCCCCCCCAAATATATCTCCTTGAATTTTTGAACACTAACATCAGCAACTTACCTGGTGGCTTGGAGAGACTAATCTTTGGTAGTTTCTTTGCATACTTGATCAGCACTGTCAATTGACGTTTCTGACTCTTGTAGCCAATGGCTACCTCCACTTCACCAAGTGCAATGCTCACCTAAAGAAATAGGAGAACATTTTTTAGGAGAACACACTCACTGCCAATATTGGGTTTTACTCAAGTTTTGCTTCACTGAATAGTCCAGGTTTCTGGTCACAATGATATTCAGCCTTCTAGGGTGATTAGAGAAAATTGTCACAGTTTAGGGAGAATCAGTCGGGGAAGTGAACTGCCTGAAAAGAGAAAAAATCACCAGACCCACCAGGACTCGAACCCGGGACCTTGCTTGTCATGAGCAATGCTCTAACCACTGAGCTATGGGACCAGGCTGAACCTAGAAGGTGCTAACAAGTTTTTCACTCAAAAGGCAGCTCACAACATGTGCCACACATACTGATGGCACTTAGGTCTTTTTCCCTCCCCCAGGGGACCAACCACGGTCAGTTTCTGGACACTACCAGAGGCGAAAGAAAGTGATCAATATTTGAAAGAATTGCTCGTGACAAGCAAGGTCCCGGGTTCGAGTCCTGGTGGGTCTGGCGATTTTTCTTCTCTTTTCAGGCAGTTCACTTCCGCGACTGATCTTTTGAATTTGATTGAAGTTCTCCCAATCCTTTCAAAAGTTTAGGGGGACTTCGGCATTTACAAATTCCAGTGAAAGCAAGTTAAAACACGCATTAATAAATAACTCCTAGCAACGGTACATCACATCTTCATTACTAGTCAGTCGGCCGAATGGAAAAGGGGAAAAAAGTCTGAAGAAAATTGACTGTCACCACCAAGACTCGAACCAGCGACCTTCGCTTGAGGCCAGCAATGCTCTAGCCACTGAGCTATGGTGTAGCTGTCATCCCAGCAGAGACCGTTCAGCATCCTCTTCAAACTACGGAAACTCACGCTTCCTGTGACACTACACAGGCTTGTGGGACACAGCCCTCACCACACACTTCATGCACAGCCTAGTAGGGGGGGGGGGGGAGTATGGGCAATGTATCAATATTTGTAGTCGAGGGAATGGAAAACGGAAAAACGGTACATCAATCAAAATGTCTGTGCACTTGCATCCAGCTGTGTTTCAATGTCGATCTGGGCTGTGAATATCCTCAACCACACAAGATATACCCGTGGCTGGTGAGAACAGCACTCCTAAATTGCTGGATCTTTTGTCGCTTGCTATGCACTCTCCAAAAGCACTGACGTATTGGAGAAATTTATGGTGAATGACGGCCATGGGTAGAAGTTGCATTTAAAGGTTTTAGCAGCTTACCTCCTCCGTAGAGATCTGTTTGCCTCTTTCCAGAGCCCTCCAGAGTGTAGGTATGCTGGTCAGGTCTAAGTCACTAAGTGGCACCCAGGCATGACCGATAATGTCATTGCGTGACAGTCGGTCATAGTCGTAGACTTGCAGCAAGATACCAAGCCTCTGCAGAGGTATGGACGGCGGACACATCATGTCGTAATGGACATCAAACTCGGGATTCAGCGTCTTGCTCTCGTGTTTAGTCTTCCAACTGGACTCGATCTTCAGCACCTTTCCGGCTGGTGTTATCTGAAGCGTGTCAATAAGTAGGACTTTAACAAATGGATCGGACGTGCCGCCGATGTCCATCGCGGGTAGGCCAATGGCACGTAGTACATGCACTCGTAGTGCACACGATGCAGTAATGTACTCAAGCTTGATCTGCAGTTGGCCATATGGGGCATGCTGCTCCTGTGTGCCCCCTAGGCTTTCCAGAGTCTTGGCGAAGCCCTTCTCGAAAGATACTAAATCGCCAAAATCATTCTCGCCTTCATCACCCTTATCCATTGACAGCTGGAGAGCTGAGTAATCCTTTGACCTCAATCTCCGGAGTCGTCCCTGGGATAGCCGTGAGTTGCTGGCACCGTGCTCCCTCGGACCTGGAACATCGGGCGCGCTGATTGGTTCTTCGTCAATGGCTGTGCTGTGCATATCCAGTGAAGGTTGGCTCAGTGGTCGCTTGCGTGGTGGCTTGTTGCCAAGCTGTGTCCTGCTGAGTGCCGGTAGAGTAATGGACGTGCGCAACGGTGGGTAATGTCCTTTCTTTAAACCTGCTGCATGGCCGTCCTGATCACCGCCTTCGTCACAACCATCACAACCATCACAACCATCACAATCATCACCAGAGTTGATCGTCTGCACCTGCAAGTCCAGGGGTGGTGGGTCTGGTGCATCAATGCGGTAGTTAGGTGCCGATGCCACCTTGTAGTTCTCCGCCTGTTCACCAGTAGTCTTGGACTTGCTGCGACAGCATAGTACATAGATGATGGTAGCTATGCATAGCAGGCCGAATGTGCCCACGGCCGAGCTGGCACCAATCACAACTAGCAACAGAGGAGCAGAAACACACAGGAAAACCAGTAGAGCTGAGAATAGCATGATACTGCTGACCCTAAGCACACATGCCTGTAGGAGTGCTGCAAAGGGAATAAGCTGCATTCCACGACAGTGTTGGCACTGTGTTTTAGGGAAATCTTCACCTGAAAGCCATAGGGGCATGACAAGTATGAACATTTAATTCTGCACGCAAATCAGAATTGTTCTCCAGGCTAGGGTACAGACCAGAGTAACTGCACATCACGATTCTCACACCTACTCACATGGTCCTGCGTCGCAATGCAGTCGTGCATTACTGTGCACTACCCGATGCATCGCCACACACTACCACACACTACCACACACTACCACACACTATCACGCACTGCCATGTGTGTAACTGGACTGTACAGACTGTGTGAGTGCAGCAACGGCAGGCAACGGAAACACGCACACGACATGTGGTACAATGGCATGATGTATCTTGTCCTGAACTAAGTTCAGTGCGGCTGTTTGAAACTCTAACACTACATCGCACATGAAGCATGCAACCCTTGCAGCGATATGCCACGTAGGCCGCCCCACCACGATTATTGCCTGCCTGCGTCTTTTAATAATCTGTTAATAATCTGTTACAAATCATCAAGCTACATGGAGACCAAAGTGGCGGGCCGGACAAGAACAAGCTGTGCCGGTGATATAGCTCACTGTGCACACGCTATTGTATTGGATAGAGCTACATGTGTTAATACCGGGAATACCGGGTCCATATCAAATTTTCAGTGTAGGTAATTTTGGTATGGTTTAAAATCACTTTATAGTAAAGGAAAGGACCAAGGAACTACAAGTTACGCTATAATGTCCACTAACACCACCAGTTACTAAACAATCAGCTCGTGCGATAACATTGTACGGCACTGACCGACGGTCCTGACGTTCTACAACTAATTCAAAAATCACTGTAGGGGGTGTCCCGTTGGTGATCGGGAACATTGTTCCATTGGTAATCATTATCTGCCTGAGAAGACGGCGCAGCTAAGACGGGCCTGCAGCTAGCAGTGTCACCGTGCCATACTATGAACATGTTCATGTACATAGTCCTTCACAGTACTCTACCTCTTATTCTTTCATAAGTACGAAATTGGGGCCTGGAAATTTCCAGGTCTGCATTAAACCATTTAAGGCTACAGGTCATGGCACCCAGGCTCTGCATTCCTTACTTGGCATCATGAAAAGACGTATATCATACGTCCTCAGCGCCTGGAGACGGAGCCTGCCTGTACAATGTACTATCGTGGACATGGAAAATCCAGTCGAATGACCGCAGCCGGCGCCCTCAGTGCGTACAGAACGTTGCATGCACAGTGCACATGTTGATGGCATGCGAACTCACGGCTGCATGGCCACAGCACTGGGGCCGCTTGACTTCCGACTGGATTGCCATGTCCACGACAGTACATGTGAATATGAAGGACTTAAGCCATACACTTTGCTATGGACTTAGGCCATACACTTTGCTATGGACTTAGGCCATACACTTTGCTATGTGCAGTCTAGAATTCTCTTTGCAGACCGGGCAATGCAATGGCTTGCACTCTCAGCATCACTGTGTGCTTGAATGTGTAGCAAACATGCCGTAGTATGAACTTACCACCCTGCGACACCATATTTCACTGCCAACAAGGCTAACAAGGCCGTCAATGCACTCAGTGGCCGGTGCACCACCTTGCAGTGTCTGTAAAGCCAACAAGAGAAGAGCATGGGGATACCAGTATTATCTGTCTGTGAAGTCATAGCATGAGAGTCAGCCAAACTGACCTTCCACATCCGCAGGGAAACTACTAGAGTACCTCCATCAAGGACGTAGGGTGTAGCGTAAAGAATACAGAACACTCACAGCAACAACGAACCCTCTTTTCTATTCAATACTATACATGACGTACTTCAGGAACATTTCAAGTGTGTCCTGGGTAAAGAATGGTACTGAGACAAAGTATGTTGCCCCCCCCCACCCCCCCCCCCCCCCGGATGATGGAACTGAGTGTGAATCAGTTTGTAGTTGCTACATGTACAGATTATCCACTCGAAAGTGAAATTGGAAAAGGAATAGAAACCAGAGCTATGTTCTATGCACGGGGCAGTTTCCATAAGGCTGGGGCTGAGCTGTCCAGGCCAGAAATACTATACAGGTTTAGCATTTCAGATTCCGCCAGTATTGGAAGAATCAAGATTCAAGCAGAGAAGGTGAACACAGTTATTCTCAACTAAGATGTTGTGTGCGTGTATGCGTGCATACGTCCACCATGCAGCTAACCAGGCATGTGCGCAACGTGAACAATGTAGGCTAGCACTACACACTTCCACTGCTGCTCCATATTCAACATGTCTAGCTGGTCGCTTGTCAAAATACGGAATGCTATTAAACTTGAGCAAATACTGGGTTTCAAGTGACAGTTCTGCTGCAGAAGATCACTATCCGCGAGGTTGAAATCCACCAACCGTGCGTGCATCATTGTTCAGCGCTGGCCAGTGAAATCCAAGCTAATGAAAGGTATTCGGCCAGCCTCACGTAGTACACAGGCTAGTCACGGTGCCTAAGCCTAAGGCTAGTCAGGCTGTGTAAAGCCCAGCACTCATGTATGCATGAGGTCGGATTTTACGGGCCAGAACTTGTAAAGAAGACTGTTTTGTCGACTGGCGAAAGATCAGGTAATTGGTTACATGTGGCACACAGTGCTGTTATCAGTCTCAGTCTAGTACTAGGAGTTTGATTGTCTGGTGAATCTCACAAGAAACTGCCCCTGGCCTGCTGGCCTGTGGACTCGATATGTACAGTACTACTGCGGCAAGTGTGTGTATCTAAATTCTAGTGACAAGACATGACACTATTAGAACTTCAGAAGATTATCTAAATGCACACACCTTCTGATCCTGTGGTCATAAATCAAGTAACTACGGTAAATACACGTATGTCGCGACGCGTACTAGTAGTTACCGAGTATTGTACTAATGACTGGATGCCACGCCAATACGTGCGAATATTGACTTGATGATAATTGTCTGCTTCAACTGCACAGCAGCACTGTGACTCACCCGCGTTTGGCTGAATACTGTGAAATGGGTGGTCGTCACTTGATCAGCTGCTCCTCTGCCCTGCAGTCGCAGTCGCAGCCACCATCCTGGCTAGACCGGCGACAGCGAGCCGTTCTTTGCGTACAACTCCCGCCCCAATGCGCTTCAACACACCCCAACTAGCGCAAGCTGATGCAGGACGGTGCTATGTCAGGGCCAGCCAGCTGACGTCCTAGACCTTCATCCACACGTGGCCCTGAATGGCCTCACGATGAGAAACAGTTCCCTGGAACTCTCCTTGACGATTCTAGAGCAGAGCTCGTAAATTCACTACACATTGAGAGAGATTGAGAGCGGCTGATCCGCCGCCCTGTGCTCAATTTTATCGTCGCCTGTGTGTCACCGGGCTAAGCTAGCAATAGCAAAGAAAAATAATATTATTATTATAATGAGAACCACAGAGCTGTTGCATCTCCGCAACTTGCGCAAGGCATTGCCTCGGCGAACAACAGAACATGCAAGCTATCCGAAGAGGCGTGTCGGAACAACCTGACCCGGCTGGGCAGTCATAGCCAAATCCGCTAAATGCCTAAATCATAATAAAATGCTACGTGTAGTTTAGGGACAGTCTCAGGCAGAGTAGCTAGCTGTACAAGCACCAGCAGTAGATCTACATGATCGTAGCAGCGCTGGAGGGACACGAAACTGTGTACACACTACGGAGGCGGACCATGGGACGCAGCGAGTTCAAATCAAAAATTCGTATGTTTGCTGCCTCAGCCTGCGAAGAAAGTAGACAGCTGTCATTAGTCAACCTCCCTACCTATCACAGTATCACTATCAGCATCATCGATGCATCATGGCATACCACTACATGTGACAGCACACGCAAATGTCCATCGCAGTGCGAGCGTCGCCGAGCGTCCCACATACAAAATTTGACAGTTATCCCGTCAGCTAGTTCCAACTGTTACTCAACTGACTCCTTCACTGCTTCAGTCTAGTCCTTGCTCGCAGCTCGTCATGCATGATGCACAGACTCAGTGGGCATGGCAGTGGAGACTGTGGAGTAGTACCGCTATGTACGTCACCGGTGTCAGAGGGTCGTACTGATCTACCATTCCCTGGCAGACTCCAGACTCCAGTCCAGACTCCAGTCCATCCAGTACTGGATCTACTAGTGCTAGTGCTCAGCTGCGTGTGCATACTACACAGTCGTTGAGTGTTCCCCAAGGCACGCCCTCTCTTTGAAACTGCACGAAGGAGAGGAAATTCTCTAAATGGACCAGAGAGAAGGACCGATAGAGTGATCATGCCCAGGGTAGTATTGCTGTGTATATCCCAGGCAGTAATGGCGTTGATTCACGGTGTGTTGTGAAGTGAAGATAGTTCGTTCTTGCGAAGACAATGACTATGATTGTACTCACTGGCAGGCACATGCATAGTCTCACTCACATTGTCAGAAGTACCGCTAGAAGTAGAAGGACACATTAAATTTTGTTTTTAGCTAACTTTAGGATTCCAGATTTTCGAACCAACTATTGACTAGGACAGAGGGAAGACGGTGTGAGTTTGGATCACCTTCAATGAGTTCAAGTCACAGTGAAGTGGTAACAAAGTCACAGCGCCACGTGATGATATGACTGCACCGATGCTGCAACATGTGGAAAGCGGGCTCTAGAACTGGAAGATTGGCAATTATGTGATGGCGATCAGCCGGTCACACTTTGACGGCCCGGAGACCCGACACGCGTATGTATCACAGCTCCACTGTTCCTCACTCTGTGTGTTGTGTGCGCGCGCGCGTGTGTGTATGTGTGTGTGTGTGTGTGTGTGTGTGTGTGTGTGTGTGTGTGTGTGTGTGTGTGTGTGTCACTGCGCCACAGTGATGCATGTGCAAAGATGATAAAGTCCAATGTACATTTTGAATTTTATTATTATTCTCAAACTGTGTGGATGAAAATGAGATGGCATAACCCTATGAATGAATTATGAAGGAAAAGAAGCTAGACAGAGAGGGGGGGGGGGGGGAGAGAGAGAGAGAGAGAGAGAGAGAGAGAGAGAGAGAGAGAGAGAGAGAGAGAGAGAGAGAGAGAGAGAGAGAGAGAGAGAGAGAGAGAGAGAGAGAGAGCAGAGCAGAGCAGAGCAGAGACGAAATCATGGTAGTGGTAAGCGCCACATCATGAAGGTGGCTGTGCCAGTGAGGCAGGCCTGGGTACGTTGTTTCAGCGGCCTTTGAGCACCCAGGCACTATGATAAATATACTACAGTAATATTATTGTATAATTATTATGTAAGCACTGAACAAAAAAATAGTGGCATCGGTGACTTGACAGCTCTAAAAGTTATGAGTATATCGGGCAGGAATCAACTGCTGATAAAGGACCTGAAAGATATGCAACTACTTTGGAATAACTAAGTACAAAATACACGTGTAGATCTACCCAACGTTTTAAACCAAGCAATCAGATGAGGCAAACCAAAAATAACCTTTAGGAAGGGGGCACAATGAACCGTTACAGCCTTGCACGGAGAATTGCTGACATTACAAGCCACTAGTCAGCAAGCTGTTCTGCCACGTGCTGATGATTGATCGGATCATTTTATTATGAGAATGATATTCTTTGAAAGGCACTACACTTGGTTAAAGTTGCTTGAAAATGAGGAACGAACAGCAATACATAAAAGAACTTGAAATTGAAAAGCCTTCTTGGCAAAATTGCTCACCTCATTTTGTAAGCAGAATACAGAATATTATATAATATTATGTGTAGGAATGCACGTGTCGTAGCAGCTAATATGTGTAGGAATGCACGTGTCGTAGCCAGCTTGACTGAGTGCCTACTAGCAGGTTAATTAACAGGTTATTAAAAGAAATTCAAAGTGATCAGAGAACAACAACAACACAACCGTGTTCAGTGGAGAAAGAGGGCAGAGAAAGATAAGTAAGAATCTGTACTATGTGGCACTACTAAGCTTACATCAACTAAGAACCCCATTTCATTTGCTTTTGGTTGTGGTGGAGGATAACAGTTTATTTTGCAATGCTGAGTTGAATTCTCCCGCTCTGCGCTGGATATGTTGTATTGGAAGGCACCGCTCAGCCAGTTGGTCAGTTCATATCAACTCGGCGTTCGACCTTTGCCCGTTTCTTCTTCTTACTGTACGGAGCGACAGTAGAGTACGGTTGCAGCTTGTGATCTTTCTCAACCATCTCGCCATTTCCGCTCATGATTTGCCTCCAATGTTGCTGTGCCTTGCCTGATCTTTCCATGGCGCTGAGATTGATGATGCCAATTGGGATGTTGCTTCCAAGCTGCTCATAATGCCATACAACTACTGTCAGTGTACAACGCTGTATATCCACGTCGGGATCAAGCGTGAAGTGCACTGTCTCATTGAAGGTAGGGTCCGTTGTGTGTTGCTGCTGTTCCATCTCCAGTGATGCTATCTTGTAGTCATTATACACCAGGCGAACCTTAACAAACGGATCTGAGCAGAAACACAGGGGTGGTGGTGGTGGTGGTGGTCATGGTGGTGGTGGTGGGGTGGGGTAATCGGTGTGTAGATTAGGCATGTGGAGCAGAGCTAAACCAGCACCGGCAACATTAGTCAGTAAACAAAGTTGTTCTGTTGAGTTTGCCACCAAGGGATTCAAATCATTCAAACTCGTGTTTTCCGCGTTTAGCTAAGATTGCCCTAGTAGAATTTTGTGTCTCTGTCTGTTGGAATAAGACTGCTGTCAACACCGTCTCCTATTCCGAATATAATTAGTTTCGGTA